ATATGGAAGGATTTGGCATATGCAAAAATCAAAGATGAAGAGGTCCATGAAAAAAGCATACAAAATGGAACCGGTTAGGGTGGGTATAATTTTTACCCAAAATGAAATGTATATTGGCTTGGTTTTGCACAAAAAATGCAAACCATTGGTTATTCGGTATTTTAGTTTGGTTTAATGTGGTTCTTTTTTTTTAAATCCCAGTGGCAAACCACCAAGTCTGGTGGGGTAAGTTCTAGGCAACCTTTACCGAGTTTTATTAAGATAGTAGGGAGCCACAAAGTGAGGGGAGGACTATACCAAGGCCTAACGCCAGCCCCTCATACGGAAGACAAACCTTCCGGGGATACAATAACAAATAAGGGGGTAAGGGAACCTAGAACGGCTTGACCAAGGCCACAATAAGGTCTAAACAACAAACAAGCTAACTAAGGCTTGATCAAGGCCACAATAAGATCGAAACAAACAACATACTAGTCTAGGGCTTGACCAAAGCCACAATAAGGTCTAAAACATCAAACCAACACGACAATCCAAACTCACACCAGGCCAACACGAGCATAACCACACTAAGACAATAAAGGCCATACGGAGAGGCATGGCAACACAAAGAAGTGGTAATCATTCTAAGAAACTAAAATTATATTTTTAATACAACAACGAAGCTAGTTCAACCATTCTAAGAAAAGATGTAGCACAAATTTGCATTGGAAGAAATAAAGATATAAAAATGGATGTCACAACCTTTTGAAAACTCGTAACAACAAGCTGGCTTGATGAAGTAGCAGAATAATAAAATAATAGGAAAGTAACTCAATCTTCGAACATTTGAGGAGAGCAACTCAAATACTCAATTGTGGAACTGCCATAACAAAGCAACTTTTAAACATAGCAACTGAAATACCAAAGCGAACTAATTTTTATTAAACAGACACCGTTTGAGTGTTCTTCGTATATAATTGGAAAATATGGACCGAACCACGTATTATTTCCTATCACGATGCTTGTTAGTCGTCTCCGTGTCACCGCGTGAGAGTCATTCGTCATCAAAATTCATTGTTCATTTGCAAGGCCGGTCATCATCGTTCGTTATTGTCACAACAAATCAAGTTCAAGTTGTTTATCCAATTTTTTTTAGTCCTAGTTTTTTTAAATGTCCAAGTTGTGCATTCGTTAACCTCATGCTCAACTTGAGGAGGAGTGTTAAGGAATGTAGTAGGGTTTATCGTTAACGGGCTCATTCTTGTTAGGCTCGTAATTAGGTCATGGTCTGTTATAAATAGTGGATCTATGTGTAATCAAAGCATTTAAGTTTAGATCTGATAATATTTCTACATGGTAAATTACTCGTTTATTTGTTTGGGAACAAAATAAAAACAAATTAGCAACGAAATCAGAAATTCATAATGTCAAATATGCTACTTTTACACTCCGTAATGTGCATGCTCAAAGCGAGTAGAATGGCTAAGAAAGAGAGGACTTGCACTACAAATCATCTTAGGTAGCAAATGTAACAAAATATTCAAATGTTACTTTCGTAATTTTCCACTTTACCAGTAATATGTATTGCTAAACTATATAAAACTACCACTCTCTATTTCGTATGTAACCAAATTAATTAAGTTTTAATATCTCATGAACATATATGACTCCTTTGGTAACTTATTTATACTTGATACGGAAGATGTTCACGTTCAAATACACATTATGGAGGCTGCTGCTAAGCTAAAAGAATTTGGGTTTACAGATCTAATAGTTAATCTCTATAAAAGGTAAGTGTTTCTATTATTTACAGAAAATGATTCTCTATATTGCTTTAAATGTCGATGAGTGTTGTTATAAAATTGTTTGATAGTCGAAGGCACTACCCATATGTGGGTTGTGGGCAAACATTGAGGAATAAGAAATTGATAAATGAGAAGATTTGATTGGCCTCTAGGTGGTTAGTAGTTTTGACTCAATGTAATAAAAGAGAACTAGGGGTGAGCATCGGTTCGGTTCGGTCGGTTTCGGCTCAAAACCGAAAAAACCGAAAATTAAAAATACTCATAATAACCGACCGAACCGAATAAAAGCAAGAACCGAACAAACCGCACCGAGTAAAAACCGATCGGGTTTGGTCGGTTTGAAAAAACCGATTTTTTTCAATACATGAACCTACTGCCTTTTGCATATATGAAGCATTTCTCAAAAATTACACACTTAATTTAACAAAGAAAGTTGAAAAAAACATTTAATTCACACACTTAGTTTAACAAAGAAATTTGAAAACACACTTAATTTAACAAACAATTGTCAAAACACTTAATTTAACAAAGAAATTTGAATGAGAACAAAGAAATTTTTTGCTGAAATTACAAACTTTATTCAATCACCACAAACTACACACTTAATCAATCACCATCTAACAAAGACTATAATATTAACAGCTCCTTGGGATTGTTGTTGCTGCTGCTTGTGAATGGGGATGATGCGGCAACAAGCTGTGATAATCGTCGGCCATGGCCCTTGGCTAGTAATGCATCTAAAAGGATAATAATTAGCAACAAAAAAGAATGAACAAACCTGGTGAGTGGTGATTGCCGATTGGAACGAAGATGGTGATTGCCGATTAGATCTTGTTGTGAATGGCGTCGGTTTGAGAACGCAGGAATTGGGAGAATGGGAGATGGTGATTGCCGATTGATGAGGACCGAGAAGACGAGAACCAGAGAACGACACAACAGGGTTGGGATTTGGGAATTTCTGCCGATCGAGTGCCGAGGACTTGGGAGACGGGTTGGGAGAAGGGCTGGAAATTGGGCTTTTTAAGTGGGCTGTAACTAAAAGACTTGGTCTGGGCTTATATATGTTTAATCATTAATACACATAATATGGGCTCGGTTATTCGGTCGGTTTCGGTTAACATTGCCCAAAACCGAAACCGAAACCGAAACCGATAACCGAATTAACCGAATATTTTTTATATTAAAACCGAAAACCGAAACTGAATTTAAAATTGTGGTCGGTTTGGTTAAATTGTTTCAGTTAATCGGTCGGTTCGGTTAAATTGCTCACCCCTAAAGAGAACAAACAAAGAACGAAAGCTTAAACACAAAAAAACTAATGGTGATGATCGTGAAGAAGATTTTTTAGTATGGCTTCTACTTATTAACATTTTTATAATGTAAACATATTTCAACATTATCCACGTGGAAGCCGTTTGTTGGTTAAAATTGCATTTTGGTAAGATTTAAAGTCATGTGATTAGTTAAGTACTAATTACTTATCCTGTATTCTATGAGTTTACATCATGCAGTGATCTCTAGCGTTTAAAGACAAATGCATTGTTAAGAAGTTTACTTTTTCGTTAATATGATATAATTAGTAATTAGCCACTAACTGATGTGTAATTCCTCTAGTTGCAAATTTTTTGTTCCAACACTAGTTAATGTCTTAATGAAACTGACACTAGTTAGAACAAAAAAATTACAACTCGTGTAATTACACATTTAATATGTGGCTAATTGCTAATTTTGATTATATAATGTATAAGTAAACTTTTAACAATGAATTTGTTGCCAAAGGCCAAAGGTCACTAAAATATAAAATGTATACTGCACATGTATACTCATAGAGTACTTGATAAGTCGTTAAAATTAAAGTAATTACTTGACTTCAAATCCAACTAACATGCAATTTTAGCTAATAAAAGGCTCCACGTGGACAAATCTAAAACATATTTACATTAATAAAATGTTAATAAGTGGAAGATATATTAAAAAAATCTTCTGTATAATCTTCCTCTTCATCATCATCATCATCAATTTCATTTGTATGCTTTCATTCTTTTTATGTTCTCTTGTATTACTTTAAGTAAAAAACTGTTGACCACCTAAAGGTCAATCAGATCGTCTCATTTACATATTTCTTAATCTTCAATGGTTGCTCACAGCCCACATATGGGTAGTGCCCACAACTATCGAACAATTTTATTGCAGCACTCATCAACATTTAAAGCAATACATAGAATTATTTTCTCTAAATAATAGAAAAACTATCTGTTATAGAGTTTAACTATTAGAACCAAAAGCCCAAATTCTTTTAGATTAATATCAGCCTCCTTAGTTCATCAAGTATAAATACGTAAGGAAAGGAGTTAAAAGTGTTCATGAGAAAGATAAAAAGTTAATGATAAGTTGAATTTGGTTGGATAGATAATAAGAAGTGATAGTCTTACATTGTATATCAGTACATATTACTGGTAAAGTAGAAAATCATGAAAGTAGTTTGTATATTTCCTCACATATGTTACCTAATATGATTTGTCATGTAAGCCTCCTCTTTCTTACTCATTCAACATTAGTAAATGAAGATACATTGAACCTAGGATAATTATTTACAATTTGTGATCCACTAGTGCATGCGATGACGTTTTGGCCTATTTTTTCTAAACTGCTCTATGAAGGTGGCGGAGGCTGTTATGAAAAAGACCTTATTGCACCAAAGAGGAGATAAGTATGGAGAGTTTCCAAAAATTCAGTGCTAATAACATTGAAAAAACATCCACATCCCCCATGGGTCTTGTTCTTGTTTTGAGGTTCGACGAAAGGCTTGATAGTTCGAAAACCAGGATAACTTGAGGAGAAAGAATGCCTAAAAGCTTCTAGAATATATAAGAGTTTGTGTGATTGAGTCGCATTGAACCACGAACCACGATACTCATAGTAGCATTAGCACAGATGGTCAAAGGTCACCAATGTAGATTCTAATGTTTTTTGCCTCTCACCTCTAGGTTTACTCCATGTTCTCGTAACATTTTTAACAAAAAGTCCAATCTCAAGAAAACTACTCTATTATATTATGTTGGAACACCCAATTAAGTTAGTGAAACTTTCATTAACCCTTTATTGAATACCTCTGGACAAGTTTCCTACAATTAGTTCAAAAGGACCGATGGCTCGCACATGACATGTCTGAAACCCTTTTTTTTCAACGCCACCAGGTGTGACTCCGAAATGATCCTAAGTCGCCTCAAGTGCGCAACAATCGTCTTTAAACTTCTTACCAAAAGGCACTATTATTTTTTCCAATTCCACTTATGTGATCACGTCAAACTTCTTACCAAAAAACACCATTATTTTGTCAATCTCATCATTGACAATGATAATGCGTAAAGTAATAATTACAAGCATTTAAGGGATACACAATTTAAATAGATAGTTTCGCAAAAAATGTTATTTAAATATATTGTTTTACAGGGAAGTGAGGTCTTGGAAGAAATATCATTTCTACTTTTCAGGAATATCTAAGAAAGTGAAACTTAACTATATCATCCATTACAAAGATGGTTGTAAATGTAATATCGAAAAAAGCATTGTATCTTTGTCTACTTATTTGAGTGTTTTAACTATATCCTCTTAGTTTCTTTACCGTCTCGATTATTCCCTTCTAAGAATTTTCAAAAGATGACATTTGCAAAAAAAACTACTGTAATAAATATGGAAGACTTAATTTTTTTGAGGTGACAATATTGAATTACAATACAACAAATGTATATCAAAATTTTGTAACTTGAACATAATTAAGGTCAAACTTATCTTGAGATGTATATCATTTTTTTGTTATGATGTTTTGGAATTTTTCCTAAATTTATGTTTCATACGTTGTCCAAATTTGTTTGAGACTAAGCCATGGTTGTTTTTATGCTTTATAACTTATAAGTTCGTTTATAAGTTCTTGAGGATTATAGAACTTGTTCTAACGAGTCTTATATCAATCAATTGTTGGATATTTGATCAGTTTGCGTCTTTAGTTTGTGATTGATAGTATTGGTAAAACAATGTATGATGAGATTGGTGAAACAATGTGTCTTGAGGTGATTGATAAACATGATTATTGAAATAAACTTCTTATAGCTTTAATCATGCCTCGAGATTGGGTTGTAAAAGAAGAGAATTCACAAGGAGTTAAGACACCTCAAACAAAATACACAAATATCTTAGAATTATTAACTTCGAGTATCCATATATTGCCATCAATAATTATAAGCAAAGCCAAAGTACAAAAATAAGACTCACAATAAGTCAATTTATATAAAAAATATAGTAAAACTAATCAACTACCTTGAAGGGGGAGGGAGTTGAGACATGAGACAACTTTCACCAGACATTGAGGACAAGCCATAATTCACAGCGTTTGAAGTAAAATATATAAAAAAAATTGGCATGGAAATGGAAAATGAGCAATGATGTAGCAGAACTTGCAGCCTTTCTCATCTCTTTCATAAACTTGCCCACAATAGTAATAAGTAAACGTAAAATATCTAACAGTCCGTGATTATAAAAAATCAAACATTTTAACAATAGAGGTAAAAACAAGTTCTAAATTTTGAAAACATTGACGGAAGCTAACCATTATATCAAACAGTTGTGTTTAAATTGAGCGTGTATTTCATTTCATTTCTAAACCTCCCACGTGCAAAGCATATTATAGAATAAAAGGCAACACTTACACCCATATTGAAACATTTGATCCCAATTTTGATTGTAACCAAAAAAATTTTAATATAAACTTATATGTGTCAATAACAAGGTCTCAAAATCATAACGGAGATAAGAGGATGTTGCTTAAATGATTGTACAAGTTGATGCAAATTACTCTTTATAATGAAAGGCTAAGCGCGTGTTTTTTTTATTGAAATTCTAAAATTAGATGTTGGAAGAAACTAGAAAGAGGTGGAAAACTGTAAGGTGTTGGAAAATGTTAAAAAATATAAAGTGTTAAAAAATGACTCAATTAAATGATCACCCAAAAATATGTAAGATAACTCAAATTTTGGATAAGAAAGATATCATCTTTATCTGTGTTTGAGGTGGTATGTTATAAATCTAGGTATATAATGTTTTTTATATACATCATATATAAAAATACTTTTTTAAGTCATTGAAAGAAATTGGAAGAAGTTGAAAAAAAACTTGAAGGAGTTGAAGAAACTAGAATGAGTTGGGAAAAGTAGAAGGTTAACTTTTTCAACCCAAAAGAACACGCTCTAAGGAATAACCAATGGAAGTTACATTTTGATGTCATAACTCATAACTATTTAAGTGTCTGAAGCTGAATCACTAGACAGTACTCTCTTTGTCTCAATTTAAGTTGCATGTTTACAATTCACATGGTCAAACTTTAACCACGTTCTTGACCAATTTTGCCACCCATTTGAGAAAATAAGTCTTGTCACCTCTCATTTTGTAGGACTTTTGATGTGATTTTTAAATATGTAAATTTTATTTTTTAATTCCTTACCAAATTTTAAATCAATTCAATTGAAAATAATTCATCCAAACCTTGTATACAACAACTGGCGACTTTGCTTGCGACACAAAGAGTAAATAAAAATTCTTATTGTATGTTATTGTTAATTTAAAATTTAGATGCATCTTCATTAGGTAGAACTAAAAAATATAAGTAGTTGTATGTTAGAATTTGACAATAGTCTTTATGTTTATTGAATTTAAATTGTTGGAAAAACATAATGAGAAATATAAAAATAAACCATAAGCATACCATCTTGCTACACCAAATTTAAGATAAAGAAGAAGAAGACAAGGCTACACTCTAAATGACCCCAGCACAAAGAAAAATGTAGAAAAATGTTTGTTGCTAAAGATATGCCAAGTATATGTACATTTTCTTCACAATATAAAAATAGAGAAAGAGTTCCTGTTACAAGGCTTGTCAGCACACAAACCTACCACATATTTTACTGCCTTATCCAATTCCGCTACAAGTGGATCTTCAAAAAGGTTTGTAATATCAAACCCTAAAACAAAAGATAAAGATAAAATGATACATTTACCGTTTATGAGTTCCACCTTGAGCTATGTCTAATGTTTAAATTGAACAATTCTTGGGTTGACCTTATGAGCATAGTTATTAATGGTGTTCGCCATTCACACTGTACTTATGGCGCCTATGGCGCTAAGGCGTGCAGATGCCGCCCTAAAGGACTAGATCGAGGCGTTTTACGAGTGGTGCGCCAAGGCAGTCGCCATATGAAGCGCGGGCTATCTTCGCTCTGCATTTCGTCAACCTTTTAAAAAAATGGGCTAACCTTGACATCACTTCTCTTCTCCATTGTTGCAATGCACAGTCAGAATGCGGAATCTATTATCGGCCCTCGTCAACGTCTTCATTATACATAGTTTTTTTTGTCCTCAACTTCTTTTTACCTTCTTCGATTAGTATTCATTGGGATGGCCGACTCAAAGAAAAATCACATTATTCGGCGTTTTCTTAAGCTTTAGATTATTCACCAAGTTGTGTCTTCAAAATTAAACCCCCCTTAAAATAACATTTCAAAAAATTATTTTATTTTATTTTATTTTTTTAAAGGGATTTTATTAATATTATTAATTTTAAATTTTAACCTTATATGTTTCCTTTATACCTTATTTATTTGTTATAATGTTTTGGAGTTTTTCTAGAGTTATGCTTCATACGTTGCCAAATTTGTTTAGGATTGAGGCTTGGTTGTACTTTTCAAATTGTTCTTGAGGATTATAAAACTTGTTCAGTGAGTCTTACATCGATTCACTCTTGGATATTTGATCAATCTGTTTCGTTAGTTTGTGTTTGATGATATTGGTAAAACTATGTATTATTGATGATATTGGTGAAGAAAATGCCTTGTGGTGATTGATGGACATGATTATTGTAATAAACTTCTTATAGCGCCAATCATGTCTTTAAACTGGGTTGTAAAAGAAGAGAGTTCAGAAGGAGTTGAGACACCTCAAACAAAATACACTAATATTTTAGAATTATTAACTCTGTATCTTTTACAACTAATATACACTAATATGCTTGGAATAAAGCCTTGGTGATGAAGCTGAACTGGGATATTGCAAACAAGAAGGATAATTTATGGGTTAGGTGGATTCATAGTAGATATATTAAGGACACAAACTTCTGGGATTATACTCCAAAACAAGACACATGCTATTATTGGAGGAGGATGGTAAAAGTGAGGGCAGAATTTGAGGGGATGAGAATTAATGGGGAATATACACCAGAGGAAGGGTATCAATGGCTCCTAGGCCAACCCCCCAAAGCAGAATGGGCTAGCGTGGTGTGGAATAGACTAACGATACCCAAACACCAATTCAACATGTGGCTAATCCTGAAGAACAGACTACAGATAAGACAGAGGCTAAGCAAGTTCATCAATGTTGATACGAAGTGCCTGTTGTGTAATAATGGAGAAGAAGACATCAACCATTTATTTTGGGAATGCCCATTCTCCAAGGAGCTGCACAGTAAGATAATGGTACCCATGGGATGTGTAATTCAAGCTTCCAGTTTCCAAGAATATTATGACAAGATGAGGAGACATGGAACCAGAAGGGAGAGAGGAATTTGGATAGCAGCATGGGCAGCAATCTGCTACTTCATATGGAAGGCTAGAAATACTAGGTGGCACCTAAAGGAGGATGTGAGGGTGGACGAGTGTGTCTCCTATATTATGTTCAATATTAGATGTTTCACTAGTAGTAAACTGAAGAAGAGTAATATACTGTCCAGGTAGTAGTATTGAGTAGGGAGGTGTATTGAAGATTGTATGATCTTATTTTTGTGATGAGTTAATGAATTGTGAAGTGGTTCAAAAAAAAAAACTCTGTATCTTTATATTACCATCAACCCTTATAAGTATAGACAAAGTACAAATATGAGAACCACAAGAATTCAATTTACAAAGAAATATAGTAGTAGAAATCAATTATCTTGGAGGGGAAGGGGGTTGAAGCCTCCAATCCCAATTTTGACTGTAACCAACAACAAAAAAAGAAAATAATCAAATTAAACTTATCTTTGTCAATAGCAAGGTATTACAATCATAATTGAGATAGGAAGTTGTTGCTGATTGAATTACATGTTGATGGAAATCACTCTTTAAAATAAAAGACTAAGGAATAACCAATAAAGTTACATTTTAATGTCATAACTCATAGCTATTGTAAAAGTTTCTGAAGCTGAATCACTAGATAGTAAATAAGGATTTTAATTGTTTGTTATTGTTTACAATCTATATGCATCTCTGTTTGGTGGAATTATATAAAAAATAAGGACTCGTATGTTAGAATTTGACAATAGTCTCTGTGTTTATTGAATTTAAATTGTTGGAAAAACAACATGAGGAACATAAAAATAAAACACAAACATACCATCTCAACTACAACAAATTTAAGATAAAAAAGACAACGCCATACTCTAAATGACACCAACATAAAGAAAAATGTTTGTTGCTAAAGATATGCTAAGTATCTGTAAATGTGCTTCACAATATAGAAATGGAGAGAGAGCTTACTGTTACAAGGCTCGTCTGCAAGAAAACTGACCACATATTCTGCTGTTTTATCCAATTCATCTACAAGAGCATCTTTAGAAAGGTTTGTAATATCAAACTCGAAAACAAAAAATAAATATAAATTGATATATTAACCCTTAATGCGTTTCAAAATACATAAAATCGGGATGGTTACATATTGTGTAAGGTGCCTCATGTTGGATTACAATTCGACAATAAAGAGAACTTTCGATATGATATGATCAGCAATGTACAAAATGGTTCTTTATATTATTAAGAGTTGGACTACATAATTATCCCATGCAATTTAATGCCAAGCCTTACAGCTATCGAGATTTCAATGATATACAACAACAACAAAAACAAAGCTATTAGGATTTGAAAGGTATACAACAACAACAAAAATAAAGGCTTATCCCACTAGGTGTGGTTGGCTATATGGATCAAAGTCCTCTTCTGTCTTGCCAAGTCCTCTTAGATCTAGCTCTTATGTTTTCCTCTAGCCACATACCTATTCACTATTTGATCAATCCTTCTCACAAGATTCTTTATTGGTCTTCTTTTCACATGTCCAAACCACTTAAGTCGCATTTCCAGAATCTTTCCTACAATAGGTGTTACTCCAACTTTCGATCTCATATCTTCATTCCTTATTCTATCCATACGTGTATGACCGCTCATCCAACGAAGTATCTTCATTTCCTTCACACTAACCTTACGTTCATGTTCACCCTTTGATGCTCAACACCCTGTTCCATACAATATAGCTGGTCTAATAGCAGTACGTAAAACTCTTCCTTTATTTTTAAAGGTACTTTTTTGTGACATATAAAGCCCGAAGCACTCTGCCATTTTGACCAATTGTATATCATGGCAATATTGCTATCAAAACATCGGATTTCATTGTTCCACAACAGTACCATTATGTTGACAATCAGTCTAGTTTTTTCATTTCTCTATTACTCCCTTTAACCATCATCTCTTTTCCTGCTGTTAATCTATTTTCATTTTGACCAATTTAAATCCATGTTTGATGAAGATACATGCCTTCTGTTTTTGGCATATTCTTGTTGTGGTGTATGATGGAATGAGTGTGGCGACTCAACTTGGAAGCCTCTTCATCTGGTTTCATGAGAGGCGATTTTCATCAGCTGGTGGTATCAAACCAGAAGGCATAATGATCGACAACGTAACAACTGAATACCTTAATCAATTTAATTCGGATCTCCTAACTTGTTGCCATTTTACAAGTTACTGTTCAAATTGGCTCGCAGAACTTCAACATAAAAGTATTCGACTTTGGTTTCCTTGCTCGTGTCAGGGAGGAGGATAACGTAGTGCCCACGTGTTATCCTGTTTCCCTATATGCTCCTGATGAGACTGTATGCAGTGGTGCGCTTCTTAAAATTTTATTGTCTTATTTACTTCAATGTTCTGTACTGCTAGTGAACTTTATTCAACCAAGATTACTCCACCAGCTAAGCTCTAATGCTTTATGTTGCCAATCCTTTAAGAAAAGCAGCTAATCTGACTTCTAGAAGAGGATTGGTTTGTCTCTGTATTTGTTAACAACCAATGTCTAGTTACTGACAAACAACTTTTTTTTTGCTTAAAGTCATAAAATACAATATTGGATGAGTACTTATTATACTGTAAAAGGAGAATCCATTTTACAGTATATTTTACACTAAAAGGAGAATAAAAAAGTAATTCGTATGTTTTACGATTCGTTGCCTGCTTTGTTTTTGCTTAAAGTCATAAAATACAATATCGGACGGGTAGTTATTATACTGCAATATCCCCATTCTCTCCTGTCGTTCTGGACATTGAGTTCCTTGTGAAACATACTTGCTCTGATCCATAGACCATAGGTCAATGTTCCGTGGTGAACCATGGCTTCTGATCCTGCAATGTTGCAGGTATTCGGACTTTAAATTCGCGGTACGTTTTTTTTTGTATTTATTATTTGCAAAACTCTAAAATCTGAATTGTATTATAAATTCGCAGTACGTTATATTTTGTTTTTTGGGGTGTTCATCTTCCCCGCCATTGTAACCATTCATCTCTATCATTTGAAATACATAAAAATTTATATGAGAAAGTCAATACCTTAGGTGTCAATACTCCAAAAGATTGTCTCCCATTGTTGTGAGTTAACATTGTTCTATTATGCGGTGAAATTTTCTTAAATAGTTTAATTTGTACCAATGACTTCAATTACTAGATTTATTAAATTCATATGATCAAGTAACTTTTTGTTTTACAGGATTTTGACTGAAATTTTTAAGTACATACTAACATTTTAATTCTATAAATATTTAAATTTCAATAAATTAAATTTAAAATTTTTTATTTAAATCTCATGCATTGACTACAACTGGAATTTCCTGTTATCCATATTTTGATTACAATTTTATTTTCTCTCTACTCGCGATAACTTTTGTTTATTTGTGTATTTTTATTGATTTTGATAAAATAAAATATTATTATCACATCTTGTTTTTTTTAGAATTTTGGACGTAGTTTTTTAATATGTGATTTTTATTTCTTATTGATGTACTAATTTGTAAATAAAGTAATTTGAAAAATTGTAGGATTTTTTATCAAAATTTCTATTTTGTAATCAACATAGAGACCGCCTAATACGGGTATCTCGAATTTCAAAATTGTGGGATTTTATATCATAATTTCTATTTCTTTCGAGGAATTTACTTAAATAGCACTAAGACGTAATGACTTTCCCTAAATAGCATTACATGTGTTTTTTTTCAAATGTAGCATTTTTAGTCATTATGCATTAGTCATTATTCAAGTAAATATTCATCATCACTGGACATTATGGACATTATTAAGTGCTATTTGGAGAATAAAACAATTTAAGTGCTATTTAGAGAAATGACTTAAATTTTAATAAATTTTAATGCTATTTTGTGCAAATATTTCTTTCAAAATTTATATAGTTAGGATCTTTGTTTTTGGGTCATAAAAGTCAACATCCAACATTTTTTACGCCTAACTAGTTTCTTTCCATTTCTAACCATCTCTTCCAAGTAATCTTTCTACTTTTTTAACGCAGTTTAATTTCTTTCTATTTTTTCTTATTTTTTTAACTTTCAGTTTTTTAACTCTTATATTCTTCCAACATAAAACGAGAGTTTTCTTTTATTTTAATAGAGTAAACATAAAACATTAAACGAATTAATTCATATTATATTTTCCTTTATGGCGTAGAATATTCCGTAATTTTGTTTTTCAAAATGGCATTAACTTGTACTAAATTTATTAGTTTCTTAATTACCTTATTATAAATGCTTATAATTGAATTTATTTATTTTTTAATGAGAAATCTATTTACAATTACACTTAGTAAAAATTTTGACGCACAATATGTTTTCCTTGAGCGAGATTGTCTAAAGTTAACAATGTCGTGGATGGCCGACTACACTTCTCTTAGGGGCCCTAATCGCGATATCATTGATGAGATTAAGCATAACTGGTAAAGAAAGTTTATAAGGATTGAGTTCAAAAACATCTTTCGAGAGCAAAACTTTGTTGCTGACCGCCTTGCTAAAATTGGAACCTTCCAGGAGGTGAATTGGATTGACCACGAGGACCCTCCGCCTGGGATGGAAGACATCATTGCTAATGACATGATGGGTGCTACCAGAGTTCGTAGAGTGCATCTGAATTAGTCTAGGGTCTCCTCTCCTTTCTGTTTTAACAATAATGTCGTGGTACTTTGTATGATTTACTCTTTTGCTTGTTTAGGAACAAATTAAACCAAAAACAAATTAGCAATGAAATTAACATTATTGTCAAATTGTCAGATGTGTTACCTTTAAAATGTCCATGCTCAAAGTGAGTACACAGAAATAAATGTGTGAAAACTGTATTATATGTGTAACTTGTAGATGTACACATGAATAATACTCCCTCCGTCCCAAAAAGTCTTTCATGTTTCATTTTTTGCGCATCCCATGAAACACTTCTACCGACATCTAAAATGCCTAAAATTTACAACATTTCCTCTTTGTTGTGGGTAAAAGTTATTTTGAAAGTTTTTTTGGCATTCAAGGCGGGATAGAAGTGTTTTATGATATGGGCAAAAAATGAAACAGGAAAGACTTTTTGGGACGGAGGGAGTATACAATATCATTGTACTTTCAAATTGATAATACTCCATCGGTCCCAAAAATATTATCTTACTTTGAACAACGTGCAAAATATTACTATGTATCTTTTTAAAAATTATGGAGAGATTCCCATGACATTGAAACCTCATATCATGGGATGATCCAGGGTCGCTACGGTGCCCCGTTCGTGAAATTGACGGTTCCTATCCTCCCTAACTCTCTCGGGTCGGAATGGTGTGGGAGGTTTAACGGGAGGGGTAAGAACCATTAATTTTATGAATGGGACACTGTAGCGCCCTCGGATCATCCCATGATATTACCGGACAATTTCACAGGAATCGCCACGTAAAAATTAATTCTTTACAAATTGGTATAGAGATTAAAAAAGTAAAAATTTTATATTTTAAAACTATATCAAAAGTTTTATTCGGGTATAAAACAAGACGTGACAAAAACATTGTATTTTATCTAATAACATAAAAACACAAATAAACAAAAAATATTAAAATGTCAGAATAGTAATTGAGACAATATTTTTGAGACGAAGAGAGTATACGGCCTCTCAAACACAAGCAAATTTAAGATGGATCGTTTAGCCAATTTGGTTTTCTTACACATTCCTTTGGTTGATTATTTCTTTCTTAGAATATAGTGGTTTAAATATTATATTTAAAATAAAAATAATATTTTTTTGCCGAGTCATTTTTGTGTTGCACAAAACCATTTGTGAATTGTAAATTGTAATTACTTTAGGTATAAAGTACGGCGTGAGATAGGATTATTTTTGTTGATCAAGATAACGTTGCATTGGATTATTTATTTCAATATTTTCTCTTGGATTACTCAAAAGAAATATTTGCACTAAATAGCACTAAAACTTAAGTCATTTTCCTAGATAGCACTTAAATTGTTTTATTCCTTAAATAGCACTTAATAATATCCATAATACCCAGTGATGACAAATATTTACTTGAATAATGACTAATGCATAATGACTAAATGTGCTACATTGGGAAGAAAAACACATATAGTGCTACTTAAGTAAATTACTCTTAATAAAAATATGTTACTTTATTTATCTACTATTTTTGGACCATGAGTGTATGTCATAGATATTAAGAAATGAAAAATTGTACTGTACGTATATGTTGCTGATATCGATGTTAAAATGTGTATGAAAGAGTTAATAATGAATGTATGGTACTCCGGAGTATGTCACAAAAAATATTATTTCCTCAGTCCTATTTGAATCTTTCCTATTTGTGTTAAGATCTTTAATTAACTTTATTTTCAATTTAATTTATTTGATTATACTCTCTAAGTCCCAGTGTATTTGTCCAGTTTGACTTTTTCGAGTCAAACTGGACAAACTTTGAGTTTCAATTAAATAAAAATTGTAATGTATTTTAACATAAAAATGACTTTATTGGATTTATCGTATTGAGAACTTTCAAAATTGTATTTCATTATGCTAATATACAATATAAATTGAGAGTATTTTGGATATCAAAGTTTGTCCAGTTTGACTTGAAAAAGTCAAACTGGATAAATTCACTGGGACGGAGGTAATAAATACGGAGTATAAAATTAAAAAATAAAAATTACTCCCTCCGTCCTAAAACTTTCTTCCCGTTGCGCAAAACGAAGAAAAATCCCAAGTTTTTTCAATCTATTTTATTTAAATATTGGTATAGAAATAAAAAATAAAACATACATATTTAAAAACTACATCAAAAATTCAACAAAACAAGTGGTGGCAAAAATATTTTATTTTATCATATAGGCCATGAAGAAAACAAATAAATATAAATTCCCGTGAAATTGGAATAGTACTCTGGGAAGAAAGTTTTACGACAGAGGGAGTATATGTTAAAAAACCGCATCAAAAGATCTACAAAACTAGAAGTGAATTTGTCCCACAATTTGTACTACGCACTCCCTCCGTCCCAAAAACTCTTTCACGTTTCAAAAAATTGGTGTCCCACAATCTCCTAGCTTCTCAGTTATCTTAAAAAACCACTTTTACCCTTACTTTTTCATATCCTACCTATCACATCATTCTATTTTATTAATAATCTACACATTTCATCATACTTTTACTCATCACATCAAAGGTATGTTTGAAAAATCAACACAAAATTATCGCTACTTTACTTTACCATTTTAGTCCGTATGTCACTCTCTTTCTGGGAGTGAGGGTGTATATGATCTAAAACAAATAGTCTGACATTAAAAAAAAATAAAGAGAAAAAATTGAAACCAATAGAGTATAAATTATTCTAATAAAAAGCTAAAATTTCAAAAGCTTTTATGAACACATATATATTTCTCTCAATAAATTAAGAAGTTTATAATCTTACAAAATTTTCATAACAGAACAAAAAGTGTTCCACTATGACAGCTGCTCCCGTAGCTACTTCGCTTCCAAAACTTTTTAGCAATTTTTTAGGATTCATTTTCATAATCAAAATTCTGAGGTGGAGAACAAAGCTTCACAGATATGAGTGAAAGCATCAATGATAATCCCATGGTGATGATGAGAGTTGAGTGAGAGAAAACATTCTAGAAGCTTCTCCAGCTCTCTCCCTCCAACTATCTCTTTCTCCACTATCATTTCCACCATCGACTCCACGAAGTCCCCGTACGGGTCCGCCGACCGTTTCACCACCGCGACGCAATCCCCCGTCACCGGGTTCCGGCGACGGGAGGAGCGGCGCCGCCGCGATGAGCCGGAGGAGGAGAGAGATCTCGACGAGGAGAACAGCACCCGTCGTCGTTCTTCGTCTCCGTCGTCGTCGTCGTCGCTGCTGAACAGAGTGTTGTACTTAAATGCCCGCGCGAAGTCGTTGTCGAAGCGGTGGCTTCGGGACATTTTGGTCTTTTTCTTCTTCTTCTTCGTCTTCTTTTTAGCTCTTTGGGTCGGGTGGTACGGGGGTAAAATTGTGGGAGCGGGAGGGTATTTTTGACCGCATGGGTCTGGTCGGAAAAAGGTGCGGCGGCGGCGGACAGTACGAGGTTTTGGTGGGGAGGAAAGCTGCTGACAGGGAAAAAGGTGGTGCGGGTTTTGCGGGGGAGGAGGATCTGGGTCGACTACGACATCGGCTCTTTGTTTTTTGGTCTTGCATGAACGGAAGAAACGACGTAGTTTGAGCGTGAAGGGGCTCTCCATTTTATGATGGTCACATTGGTCAGAAAGAAGAAAGGGAAGCAATTCAAATGTATATCACCAAGGGTTAGTTGAAGATTTGAAGGTCAAATAATGGAATGAACGGTTTTATATATATATATATATATATATATATATATATATATATATATATATATATACCGAGTGTGAGATAGTATCACATATATACACAGTGAATGGACAACCTTTGTGCAATGTCAAACTAAGACCCCATTTTTTACATTAGTTATGTGTATATGTTTGTATAATTTTTTTAATTTTATATCTACAGTCAAATAAAATAATACTCCTTCCGATCTTAAAAACATGAGATGTTTCTTTTTTCATCTGTCCCAAAAAACACTTCTTATTTATATTAAAAAGTTACTTTTACCCCTTACTTTTTCCTATCACATCATACTTTTTTACTAATAACATATCGATCAAATCTACTTTTATCCATCATATCAAAAGATATTTTTGTAAATTCAATACCAAAATATATTTCCTTAAATCTCTTCAAAATCAAAACATCTCATATTTTTAAATTAGAACCAGGAGTATGAAAATAAGGATGATCAAATCTCGTAATGCGTAATGAGAAGAACGAATCTGGCCGGAGAGAGTTTTTATCTACATCTAAATTTTGGGATACATGTAGCATGCTCCAATTTGTTTCTAAGACCACTCCATTTTGAGTTTTAGAGCGCTGGGTATACTCCTCACGCCCACCGGTGTTAGGGGGCGTTTAACGCCCCGGTGGCGTGAAACACCGCCCCCCGCCGGCGTTAAAGGGGCGTGAGGAGCCCTGCATCATTCGTTTGACGCGGCGTGAATCTTCTCGGGCTCCCTCCTAACGGCTTTTTTAGCCGTTGTAGCCCATATTTCAAAAAAAAACTCCTATAAATTCAACCCTCCCCAACCAATCTCTAACACCTTCTCTTCAATCTCTTCTTCTTTCTTATTTTTAAATTTCAAAATTCAAACCCCCCCTCCCAATTTTCAACATGAATCCTTCCGGCTCCGGCTTCTTTCCCGATGATCTCCCGCCCGTCGACGCCGCGATGTGGTATTACCAAGAGTTGGGCGATCGACCGCCGATGTACGAGACACAACAATCGGGGTACGTTGACCGAGATTCGGTTCCGGAGACTCAAACGGAACCGTCCGGATCGAAAAAAAGTACACGCCGGAGGAGCCACAAAGCCAAAAGCACGTTGACCGAGGCGGCACAGTCAATCCAAAAGTGGACGCCGGAGGAGGAGTGCATATTGGCGTCGGCTTGGGTTGACGTCTCCGAGCATCCTATCATTGGTTAAAAATTTATTTTTTGTAATATATTTATGTTTTTATTTTTATATATTATATTTAATGGTGTCTAAAAAAATTGTGTAATACATTTTTAAAGGTACGGAGCAAACGAAGGATGCGATGTGGGATCGTATCGAGGAGAAGTTCTTCACGGC